CACTGATTTCAGTGCCCCAGCCCTATAGAGGCTCCTAATGTTCCAGGTACCAAATCTCATGTCCTTTTTCAATTGCCGTGGTCGTGCCAAAGAGTCCGTCCTGATCCGAGGCTTGGTTGATTTTTTCGTAACACATATTTTTTTTTTTAAAGGTGAAAGGTTGTTAGCCCTACACCCAACCCCCAACCTGGAGGACCAGGGTATCACTCTTAGTCTAGCGCATCTCCTTAGACCTGTCCGGCTTGGGTGACCCTACCATGAGCCGAAGCTCAGGCCGGCATGGCCCTAAGGGTCATTTGAGCACGCAAGCCTCCTCACCCGGCAGATTGCCTTCGACAAGGTGGTGATACCTTCGAGAAGGCACAAAACAACAAATACTAGATTTAATATGATATGACAGATAGTTTTTTAAAACAATCAATGAGATAAGTTTGTATTTCTTTTAGCATCTGGGTTCTTTAATTCAAGCATGTCACTACTCACACTCATTCGTGGGCAATGATCCGACTGGAGCAGAAACGTTCCTGATGCACGTCATTCCAAACATGTGTGCAGCCCTGTAAGCATGGCTCTTCACTTCTACGTGGAACTCGGGGTTAATGATATAGAGTGCAACTTTGATTATGATAACTATCACATTGTAACCCAACAGTGTTAGCCACCACCTCCGGATGTATCGCACAGGTTGCAGGTATACCTCCTCCCCTTGCCATAGCAACACAAAGGCACCCACCAGGTACCCCAGTGAAAATATGTTCACCATGTTCACGCCAGCCAGACAAAACCTCGCCAGTGTCACCCAAAGGCTTCCCAACCAATACCCGGTGCAGACCTCTTGTCCCATCCATGAGCGCTACATGCCACCTCCCATGTGGGAGGTTTCTTTGTCTTTGAAGTGTGCATTTAAGAGTAGTGAGTGACAAGCCCACCCTGCCTCTGCACAATTTCCAATTTTGTTGTGTAGTTTAGTACATTTATTCTCGCCTGAACCTAGTATTTTACAAAACTGCATATTCAGAAGAATAGACATACATATTTGTACTTTCAAATGTTAACATTTATATTCAGAATAACGAACTTTAAGTTACACTTACCGTAAAATCCTTTAACTTCATCATGTACGAACACGAACCGCCATAATAACTCCTGACTGTTTGTACGCTGTCACCAGATGTCATTGAGAACAGAGCGCGCTCAATTCAAATACTTTCAAAGACAGTTACGGTGTCAGCATTGACTCAGATAGTGTGATTCGCCCCACTTCCACTAGTACTCCTGAAATCTTCTACGGAGAAACGACGAGACCCTGGAGCAGGTATCGTAATTACAGCTGACTTTGAAATGGCATCATTGAGGGTGACAATGGCAACTGAAATATTTGCCAAAATGTTGGATAACATTCATTCCTGAGAGCCATTGTTATTCAAAATATTATAGTAAAGTCTCATGTTCTTTAGAAGCAAAACTTCATTTCTAACTCAGATTTACGAAAACATTTTGTGGGTAAATGGAACAAAATGCCAAGCAAGATGCTGCAGTTCTGAAGAGACGTGCAGTAACGTGGTATATATGTAGGATTTGAGGTTTTCATGGCAGTGAATCTGAAGGTGGCCGCCTTCTGGTTTGTTGTGCCGTGTAGTCAGATAGAAGTTTGCCGACGTTTCAGAGGCCGCCCTAATGATGTAGGCACCAAAGACCTCTGAAATGTCGGTAAACTTCTACTAGACTACATGGCACAACCCAGAAGACGGCCATTTTCAGTAACATGGTAATTGATAAAATTTCATAGTTTGTATATCATCTGTACACTTAACTTTGTACAATAATAGAATAAAAACCTACATACACTGTGTCTGCAGTTTGCTTATTTCTCTTCCGTGCCCTGAGAGCTTTTCTTGTAATTCTTTATTCTCCTGTGTCTGAGCATCTTCATGCTTTTTTGCAACAAATTTATGAGATCTGACTTCATTCTGCAGTTCTGTTTCTGTAAGATTTTAAGAAGATATGAAATGGTCTGTCAAATTCCTCTTGGTAGAGTGTTTCAGGAAACAAGAAATTAAGCATTCAAATTGACAGCACAATTTATACATAGTTACAAGTTTAACAAAGTTTTGAAGTTTTATTTGGACACAATTTAAATGCACTAGTGGATCTTTTTGAATCGTGTGGGAAACAAGCAGTGGCTGTTCCAATTACAGTTTGTGATGTCATCCTAGAAACATTTCTCCAAGAGTGATGTGGGTGGAGCAGGTAGCAGGCTTTAGCGAGATGGGAAATTCATAAATTATTTTGGAGTAATGTAAGGGAATATTACTTTGACAGGCTGAGAATGAATGGCGGGTTATTAATAAAAGGGATCACTCCATTCAGCTGCCTCATGACTGGAGTAATTGTGGGATCAAATGAACACAAAAATGAAAATTTGAGTTCCACATTATGTGGGAAATTTCAGGACTAGCACAGCAACTGTTGACTTCTCAGGAGCATTTTGCACCTTGAAATTACATAAACAATGGTGAACACATATCAGAGGGCATCGCTATCACAAAACTCTGTAATGAAGACAGGATCTCATTTGTTTTATGTTTTCAGAGCACTGATTGTTATTGGACATGGCATTAGTCACTGTAATTCTGATTTTGGATTTTGGAGTAGTCACCAGTGTCACAATGTCCATACCAAATTTTATTTTTTGTGCTTATTTCTCCTACCTCCCATATACTTGTCTCCCTTTCCTTCTTATTTGTCTGCCATATCATTCTTCTCCACCTTTCTTCCTTTAACCCTTCCATACCTTTATTTCCTGCCCTCATTTCTCCCATGTTTCCTTCTGATCCTTTCCACATATCTCCATATATTTATGGTATGACACAAGCACATATACCATAATTAGAAACTAATATAGTTAACTTTGAGGTTTTCAAGGCGGTGAGTATGAAGGTGATTGTCTTAATGTTTGTAGTACAATGTAGTCCAGAAGTCCTTGCTGCTTCGCTCATGATGAAGACAAGGACCTCTGAAACGTTGGTAAACTTCAACCAGACTACATGGTGCTAGAACCCAGAAGACAGCCATCTTCAAATCAAAAATAATTTACAGGTGAGAACTGCAATGAAAATTATCAGTCATAGCTATATATTATGTAATCTCAGTGTTTTCCCCAATGTCTGCACACATTTAAATATGCTATGTGGAGCTAAAGCAAACACAGCTGCCCACAAACATCAAACTGGCTTATATGTAATACAGATGATAAAGATTCTGGTGTCATCATGAGTGATGTCAACTGCCGTACAAAACTGAGCAATAAAATGGCTGATAGCATCAGGAGGCATTTTGTATGAACCTTGGAGTAACTTTCTTTAGTATATGGTGTAAGGGACAAAGTAGAAATGTTTGCATAGTAAATATGAACACTTCATGATTGTCTCATGGTTTTCACGAAGTGAACTGGACCCAAGTGCAGATCGAAACTAGGCAATATGCGATTCTGAAAGGTGTTTCTCGGAATAGAAGAGACGTATCAGTAAATGTGTACAACTTTAAGAATGTAACTTTTAGAACCAACTTACGAGGGTTGATAACATAGCAGCAGACATGACCTACCGTAGCTTGACTAATGTTGATGTGTTCCAAATTCCGCAGACGTATTCGCGTTTATGTGGCCTAAATGTTCTTAACAAATGGGATTCACAATTTTAAAATTATTTTTGAATGTACAACTCATACGAGATGCTAAACAGTACTAAAAGTGGTTTGTTCCCATGTTTCATATATGAATGTTTTTCATGATATGATGATGTCACGCATCCAGCGTGGCCAATGTTATAGTTATATGATAAACTGAAAAGGGACAAGGTTAAATATTATGAATGCACATTCCTTGGGTTCAAACCATGATGGAGAACATACCATCACTCAGGATTATTGCGTGAGTTAGAAACAAAGGAACTTGCATCTAGCTGGCAAACCACAGTCTGCATGTGTTGGAAGTAGCCAAGTTGAAATGGCCTGGTTGTCAGTTGGATGGAGAAGTTAATATCAATATTTTACCGCGGGTTACAATCTTATATGAACGACTTTTACAGTTCTTCATTTCAGGTCTCACCAAGCTCTTGCTGACTGACTACCGTATTTATTGCTCAAGTGAGAATGCACTTAATGCCACTGAACAATATAAGTAAATACAGCAGCTTGTAAATTTATATAATATAATTAAACAATGTATACGCATTGGCCTTTATATGGGAACATTTAAAGACGTTGCTTTAAAGTCATACGGCAGGTCGCCAAGGAGATAGCCATTTGAGGTGTAGGTTTGTCCTTGGTTGTAATAAACATTGTGTTCATTGGGCGAATTGTATGGTTTAGTGCAGGGTGGTCCAACTATTTTCCTCCCTCGGGCCAGAATAGTTTTTCTGTTGGACCCAATGGCCAAGAATCCCTACTGTCACTATTTTTGCATTGTTGTTATCTTTAATAATACTTATTCAGAAATGACAAATTACAATTGCATTGCTGAAACAAAATTTTCGAAAGCAAACACAACAGTAAATGTCTAAATTTTTAATAAGCATTTTCAGTATTATTTACCTGATTTTATCATGCACCTAATCAAATGTGTTGTAATTTTTGCATCAGAACTTATAAATTAAAATAAATTTTGTGCCAGTTTTGTTATGGATACTGTTCTGAAATGGTTACTTTTGTTCTTTTGCCAGAACCATCAACCAAGGAGCTGCACCAACTGGCAATCCAGTTCAAGATTCAAATTCAAAAAGTGATTGACTTGTGGCAGCTTCTAGACCTGTAAATGCTGAAACTGAACCTACTATCTAAAGTGCTGCTCTGTGTCTTAGATGTAAGTGAGGCAACAACCCAAGAATGGGCTAGGTGGGACCTGGAGAACCTCATAAGAAGATATCTGTAGTTCACAAAATGGTTAAATAACCATCTGTGATCGCACCGACTAACCATAAAAATACCAAAAGAGAGAAGAATGCCATTAACCATTTAAAGCTGGATGGCAACTTATATGTACCATCTGCTACAGTGGTCAGTAACACTGCACTTTGTATTTCTTGCCTTTGTATTATTTTCAGTGTAATCAGCTGTTACTTCCTTAAACATCATTAACCAGGTGATGTTTATAATATTAAAATGTTTTTTTTTAGCACAGACTAAATTCCTAAATATTATTTACAGTAGCTTCAGCTTCAGAGGGTTAATAATTAACTTAGACATGATACTCTAATGTTTAGTTGGTGTTTTCAAAGGTTATAAAAATACTTTAACCTTTATCAGCCGTGTGTCACAACACACAACAATGTGTACATGGTCCAGCTGTCTCTGACACAGTAAAAGTGCTCACATATTGCTTTATTTTTATTAATTTGTAAGCAGCTATGGCACTTCATCCACTGACTTCTGTTATGCTTTTTGCTGTAAGTTGTTTAGAAACATCAATCCTAGGTGTGCCTTCATACATAAAAGAGCGATTTGTAGTCACATCACACACACACATCCAGGTCTTGTCAGCTCTGACAAGTGGCACCAGGTGGAGTCAGAAGGAATATGTACTGGCAAAATACCGTAATAAGAACAGGATGACGGAAAAGTCACACGACCCATATTAAAATACAATGTGATTGAAACCTTTGTATACAACTGGAAGACAGCATGGTGCAGCAACCCAGGAGATCACTGTCTGAACTTACATCCCTGAAAATCTAAAATTTTACTGTTCCTAATTGCAGTTCATTCTCTTTCTCCATTAACATATTATCAGTATACTTCATACTTGAAAGTTGTGGTAGGTAAATCTCAAATGTATTTCTTTGTAACCAGTTTGCACTTATATTGTATAGTATTGTATTAATGTTTTTTCCAAAGGTATGTGCAGTAAATTTCATCTTCCTTCTTCTTACTGTGGTGGCACTGACGTTTGGTAGCAAGACAAACACGCCTGTGTGTCATGTTGTGTCAATTCTGGTCTCAGTTCTGCTGCTGATCAAGATGATCTGTCAGATCAACTACTTTGTGCATTCAAACTATGCTGTGAACTGTACAGTAAGTTGAGGTTCTAAAATGGGTAATAAAGTAAATATTCTCTCAGGATCTTTTATGAAACGTGTAATTGATTGTTTAGTGCTATAATTGTCATGAATGAAGCTTATGCAAAGAAAGATGTAATTATCAACTAAAAAATGAAGGTGGCAGTCTGTTGGAATGTTGCACCATGTAGTCTAGTGGATATTAACTGAAGATTCAGAGGAGCTTGCTGTCTTTCATCACCCTGATGCAATAAGCTCATCTGAAATATCTGCCAGATCATATGGCGTAATATTCCAGAAGACAGCCACCTTTATACTTGTTGCTGTGATATCCTCAAATTTAAACTGAAATATATATCAGAACCCAATTCATTCAAGAAGTACCATATTAAGTTTTCATTCATGAATATAAACACATTATTTTTGTATGACTAAATTATTCATCATTTGATAATATAAATGTCTCCACTGTGAGATGTCTACGTTTTGCATTACAGTATAGCTTCTGTCTTGCTCTTGATGATTGCAATATTTTTTCACATTTAGTCATTTGGCTCATGTTTAAACCATTGTTTACCTAGCAGAGTAGAAAGTGTTAATATCAGATTATCATAGCTGTATCTACTG